GACTAATTCTCAGGTCGGCCAGGACAACTCTGTGTTGACGTTACCTTTTTTAAATCAATAGATGTCATGATAACAATAATTAAATAAAATGTTTTCCCTTGTTCTTTATTGGAAAAAATAGAGATACTCTATAATTTGTACTTTCTAAGCATGCCCTCAAAATACTTTTGATACCATATTATTAATCCTAAAAATATTTATTTTTGCACCCATCCTCTTGAGCAAAAGTTGTTATTTTTTTATATCAAAATACTTTATTTTAACACACATTTCTAAAATGTGACCTGCAACATGTGTTCATTTAATGCAAAAATGTATCGGACCAGCTTGTGTCCATTAGACACAAAATGTGTCGAACCTGTTTTTTTTTTTTGGTAATTTAGTGGGGAGGGTAGGCCCCTACCCATTTTTCAATAGATTGGGAAGTTACATTTTGAAAGTGTTAATTGGGAGTGTCAATGGCAGGAATGAATACCACGATGTGGTAACTGGGTGTGGGAATGGTACCATCCTGACCCCATGTGTCGGACCGGCTAATGTTGAAATTGTGCCGGTCCAACAAATTTTGCATGGGACCAACTTTTATGTTCAAATTGTGCCGGTCCCACACATTTTCACTAGATTGGCTTAAAGAGAGAAAGTAGCAAGTTTTATTGAAAATGGGGGTATTTTGGTTTAAAAAAATTAACTTTATTGTTTGGGAGTGAATACAAAAATAAATAATATTAAAGTTAATAATATGGTATAAAAAAGCACGACGTGCCTAGAAAGTCCAATTTGGAGATACTATAATGTTTCCTTTTTCATGTCCAATTTTGGAAAAAAATTCAATAGTTAAGATGAAGATTTCATGGGAATTCTGTCCTGCTTTGCTTAAACTTAAAGTAAAACGAAGAGTATTTAAACCCGTGGTTTAATTATGGCTTAAAGGCATAAATAACAAAAGGAAAAAGTTTTTATAGAGCCGAGGTTCTAAACAATTAAAATTGAACCTACCCCAAAATTTTTTACCATAAATGGTTGTTTGATGCCCAAATATCTTCAAATTGATCATCTCGACATAAATATACATGGACATGAGAAAAAAATGGATTGCAAGTTTTGGAAATATTATATTTTGTAACACATTTTTTTACTGTAAATTTTCAATATTGTCAAGTTTTTCAAGCTTTCATAGATATATTGATCTATACTATTTGTGAAGCTTTAAACTTTATAAATAAATATAAAAATGTATTTTAACATTATCACAAATATTTCCAAATATTGAAACTGCATTTATTGACATTATTTGAAGGTAGGCTCTAATTTGATTGTTTAGATCCTACGCTCAATACAAACCGCACCCATAATAAAACACCAAAACATGTTTAGTGAACTATGAAAAGTAAAAGCACAAATTAACGGACTAAAGAAAATAGAAAACGCGCTGGGGTCATCATCGTCGAACCAAATGATTGATGGTGATAAAGGGGTGTGGTTTGCATAAGGCTGCAACTTCAAACAATCGGCATGAGCCCCACCAAATTTTATAATAATATGTCATTTTAGTTTCAAGATTTTTTAGGATCGCACGAGAATCCATTTTTATTATTGATGATAAAATTTTAGATTGCAAAAATAGTTTAAATCATGTAGATCTATAAACACACGAAAATCATGAAAATAGACGGTTGCATTATTTTTAGGACTCGAAATCCTTTCCCATTTTCATACATCCCAATGTGGAGATTATATTAGAGGGTTTTCTAACTTCAAAACAACTTTTCGATGATTTTTAGGTGTGCCTTAATTCTACATTTTTAGGTTCCAAACTTATATAAACTTTTTTCTTATAGAAACTTTTATTTTTTAAAGACTCGGATTATGAAAGGCGTCAACATTAAATAAACAAAATAAGGGATGCCTCAAGACCTAGCCAAAAAGATGCAATTTAGTGTAAAAAATATTAAAATCTATTATTTTTTTTTACTCTTGAAATCTAAAAAATAATGTATATTGAAAAGATCTACAAACACTTAGAAATCTTGAAAAAATGACGTCTAAATAATTTATTACAAGATACGCTACTTTTTAGATTTTAAATATCTCTCTTTTTTTCTTTTTTTTTTAAATATTATATGTCCCAATGTCCAAATTGATGAATTGGAAGTTTTCATAGGAACTTTTTTCTAGTGGGTTTTTTGAGCTGTGACTTTGCTTTTATAGTATAAAGTTGACATGATGTATAGAGTTTTCCAAAAAAATCTAAAAATATATATAAATTAGTTTATGAGAATCACAAAAATGTCTCTTTTTTAAGGGTGTGATTTGTATAGAGCCAAGGCTCTAAACAATCAAAGTAAAGCGCACATTCAAATAATGTTGATAAATGTGGTTTCAATATTGAAAATATTTGTGATAGTCTCAAAATATATTTTTATTTTTAATTATTAAATTTAAAGCTTAAAAATTAGTGTAGATCCAACAGATATATGAAAACTTTAAAATCTTAAAAATTGACGGTAAAAAAAATGTGTTACAAGATGCACTATTTCCAAAACTTGAAATACAATTTTTTCTCAAGTCCGTGCATCTTGATGTCTAGATGATCAATTTGATGATATTTGGGCATCAAAACAACATTTTTTAGTAAAATTTTTGTGGTGGGCTGTAATTTAATTATTTAGAGCCTTGGTTTTGCATAAATTTTTTCCTTTTTTTAAAGGGTGTTTTGTATAATGCATCAACTTTAAAGAACCAAAGTAAAGCACAACTACAAATCGTGCTAGAAGAAGTACTTTTGGTACAAAAAATACTACAATAATATAAAAATCTATTTTTACCCACAATTATTAAAATTAAAGCTAAAATAGTAGTGTAGTTTAATCAGATCTAGAAATGCTTGGAATCTAAAAAATGGATGATTCAGAATTATACGTTACAAGATGCACTTTTTCAAGTAATAAAAAATATATATATTTTTTCAGATCTAAAGATCTTGAGTTTTAGATGATCTCCGGTGTTGGAATAAACTTTTCAATTAGGTTTTTAAGTGTGCCTCCACATTATATAAACTTTTTTTAAAATTATTTCATTTTTAAAAACTAATTGAATTATTTAAGGGAAATTATTTCCTTATTTCTTATTTTTAACTTCCATATTTCAATAGACTTAAGAATTAAAAATATTACTTGTAAGCAAAAAAGTCTCCATCTTTTTTATCTTACAACCCCCTGGACCGTTTTGATCATAAAAATTTGACCCAAACAAACACTAAAATAATACCCTATTTAAACTTCATATCTCTCTTTTCACTTCTCGATGAGTTTACCAGCCAAGGGGTTTACCTTGAGCTCGAATACAAACACACCTTCTTATGTGTGAGAGACAAATAGAGTTTTAAAGAGAGATATGGACTTTGAGTTTTAGAGAGAAGTGGAGTTTTAGAGAGAGAAAGAAATGAAGTTTGAGTTTTAAGGAGAGAGATGAAATTTTAAAAGAGAGAGACGATAATGTGAGAGAGATATAGAGTTTGAGTTTTAGATAGAGATGGAGTTTTTAGAGAGAAACGATGGTATGAAAGATAGATGAAATTTTAAATAAATAGAGATAAAGTCATTTCATAATTGTTGATGTTAATAATACATGATAAAAAAAGATTTAGGGGATTGGCATATAGAAAAAAAGATGAAATCTTTTTGCTTACAAGTAATATTTTTAATTTTTAAATCTAATGATACGTATAAGTTAAAAATAAAAAATAATAAAATATTTTTTTATTATTTAATTAATTCACTGTCGTTTTGTACCTGTTAATTTTGAAACTGGCTGTGATTGCGCGGTCCTCACCTCCGTTACGTTCAATTCCTAAGGGATGGGGACAATCCGTTATAAATTGTGTTATTTTATGCAACGCCCGTCACTGTTAGATATTCGAGCTCAGCCGAGCCGCTTGCGCCAAGATTTTCTTCAACAATGTTACGGACACATCTGGAACGTACACGTGGGAGTTCGTTCATGACAGCTACGTGGCAATCACCCCAATAAATAAATGCTGGAAAATGGTGGGAAAAAACTGAAACAGGAGACGGGTTTTTCACTCTTTGCTGACAAAAGCCAAAGAGAAGGGAGCAAAATCACTTATTAGCCATTTCTCTTCCCTGAATTAGGGTTTCAGATCTCTGAATCAGGGCTTTGAAAGGACTGGACTAGGGTTTATTATGCGCCATGTGAGTTCCTTTTTGAACCTTCTATTTTGTTCTCTCTTCCCCCCTTCTTTGTCCATTTATCTGTTTATTTTTTGCATATGATAATCAAGATCAAGGCAAATAGCTAGGTATAATTGAGCCATAGATCTCTGTAAATTGGTGTCCAATTTTCTTTTTCCGTCATCAGATTAGCTTTTGGAATCTATCTCGTTAGTGTAAATTTTTGTGTTTAATGTTTGGAATCTTAGAGACCCATTATAGGGTTTGTTTCTTTGCGTTTCAGTTCTGGTTTAACTTTTGTGGGGTTTGTTAATAACAGATGAGTGGTATGGAGGTTCTCTAAGGTTTGGATTATGCCTGCATTTGGACATTCCTGCCTTTTTAATATTCATTGAGTGCAGCAGTGATAGATTGAGGTGTTACTGGTTGTTTTGGGGATTGATGGTTGGGATTTGATTGTAGCATTTCTGAGGTTCTGGTGTGAGCTTTTGGATGCTGGTTTGATCGCTTCAGCAGTTGTTTGATATGGGTGTTCTATTTGTGATGTTGGCGTTTATTTGGAATTGGTTCATTCACCCGTTTTGGTATAATAAGTGGACGCTGCATTAGTCTATGGAATTGGCAGTTGTTGGAATTGTAAGTACCAGTGTAATTGGAACTTGTTTGACTTTGATGTCATCAAATTGTATCGAGTTTTTGTTTCATTCAAGCTGTTAATCTCGAACTTTCAGGGCTTTGGATAATAATCGGTATTATTGGTCCATGGAGGTATTCATTGAGGTACAACATTCTGGGAAGTTATTGATTACAGGGTTTGTACTTGTGGTGAATCCGAACTTCTCTGTTTGGAATTGAACGTTTTGATGGTTTTTGTAACCTTGATATAAATATCATTTGGGTTTTTTCTCATTTGAAAAATCCAAGTTATAGGAAATTGTTCTTTTTAAAAAAGGACTTGTGCAATAAGGTTTATACAGAAAAAACAACTCTAATTTCATAGGCTTTGGAAAGTTCAGGTGCTTAGAAATATCAAGGACCGAAATGGGGGCACTTTTTAGCCTTGCAGGAAGCAAGAACATGGCTACAGATTACCATCCCATTTCCCAGGTCGATACCAGTAAGAGGCAGCGGCTATCAGCTAGTATCGGTGATGAAGATTTAAGATTGATCCCAAGCCTCCCTGATGAGATATCAATTCAAATACTTGCAAGGATGCCTAGGGTTTGCTACCCAACCATGAAACTGGTTTCTCGTAGTTGGAAAGCCACAGTCATGAACCATGAAATCTTTCAACTCAGGAAAGAACTTGGCACGACTGAAGAATGGTTATACGTTCTAACAAAGGTTGAAGAAGATAAGCTCTCATGGCATGCCTTAGACCCACTATCAGGTATATGGCAAAGGTTGCCTCCTATGCCTGTTGTTACGTATGAAGATGAATCCAAGAAGTCGGTGGCTGGGTTACGAGTATGGAACATGATGGGATTCATAAAGGGTTGGTTGGGTTGTGGGGATTCATTAGATCGAATGCCCTTTTGTGGGTGTGCAGTTGGGGTTGTTGGGGGTTGCTTATATGTCTTGGGAGGGTTTTCCAGGGCTTCGGCAATGAGATGTGTATGGAAATATGATCCATGTTCCAATTCATGGAGCGAGGTGGCACCCATGATGGTTGGAAGGGCTTATTGTAAGATTGGATTGCTTAATAATAAGCTTTATGTTGTTGGAGGTGTAAGCCGGGGTCGGGGTGGTTTAACTCCATTACAATCAGCTGAAGCATATGACCCTGAACTTGGGTTGTGGACCCAAGTGCCTAGCATGCCATTCTCAAGAGCTCAGGATTTACCTACTGCCTTTTTAATTGACATGTTGAAGCCAATTGCCACCGGTATGACCTCATATAGGGGAAAGTTATATGTCCCTCAAAGCTTATATTCATGGCCTTTCTTTGTCGATGTGGGTGGTGAGATCTATGATCCAGTGACGAATACATGGTTTGAGATGCCGGCTGGTATGGGAGAGGGGTGGCCTGCGAGGCAAGCTGGTACAAAGTTGAGTGTGGTAGTGGATGGGGAGTTGTATTCTTTGGATCCTTCTAGTTCATTAGATAGTGGGAAGATTAAAGTATATGATCACCAGGATGATATTTGGAAGGTTGTTTTGGGAAAGGTCCCAATTCTTGATTTTACAGACTCTGAGTCTCCTTATCTTCTAGCTGGATTTTTGGGTAAGCTTCATGTTATTACAAAAGACATTGAGAACAACATTGTGATATTGCAAGCTGAGTTGCGAAAAGATAAGGCCGTGATTGCTTCGACTTCCTCTTCCACCTCTTCGAGCTCATCTTGTGATGGGGATCAAGTGAAAGGAACTGAATCAAATGATTGGAAGACAATAGCCAGTAGAAGTTTTGGCAATGCTGAACTTGTCAGCTGCCAAATTCTTAACATCTGACCATAATTCGAGAGGTCAGAGAGTGTATGTTCTGAGAAAAAAAGGTCAGTCTCTCTGTATCTTCTGGGTTTTTATTAATTGCTTTCTTATATAGTGCCCAAATGTCCTGTAATATTTCAATATGTTCTTTGTGAGTGCTAGTGTTATTGCTTAGAGGTCCATTTTGTGTCAGAATCTATCGTAGTATCTTTTATTTAGTGTTAAGGGGCTCTTAGTCTTTTAGTCTGCAGAAAACAATTTTCATTAAGACAATTTCAGGGGCTGTCATGGCCCAACATTTTTTTTCTATTGTAGCTTCTTGATTATATCAATGTACAGTTGCTTTTTTAATCCCTATCATGCCTATTTATGCTTCTTGAACAGATTTATGGTTTGGACGGTTTTCATGAATATGGTTATAGAACCGGTCTTCCTTGGCTTTCTATGCAGAAAATTGGCCATGGTTTTATCTTCATGACTGAGTAAATGTAGCAAGTTACACATTAGGTCATCAACAGGTGAAGAATGGATGGCTGAAATTGTTTGTATTCACAGTGAATGATGGGCTCATCTACTTCAATAACCGAAGCTACATCGTAACAATATGACATGCAAAAAATAAATGAGCAGAGCATTGTGTACATCTACTCCCCAGGTCAGAAAACCTATTTGGGAGGTTTTTTCAATCTTTAATTTTGGGTACCACCTAAGAATTACTAGATAATTATTCTCAAAAGAGAAATTTGCACTTTTAACTTTCTAATACTTAGATCGCACCCTCTAAAAATTGGACGGTCTCTATTCAATCTTGAGACATTATCTTTTCCAAGTGCATAGAGGGTGCAATTAGGAAATTTCTTTTATTGAGGTCAATCTATGGGCTGAGGAGGTTACATTCCCAGAATTTGGGGTCCTAAAATTAATCTCGCATGGATTTTATCCGAGGGAGTAAATTGACAGTATAGTCCCGTGTATCTGAGGGAGTAAATTGACAGTATACTCCCGTGGGAGCATAATATCTTTTGGGAAAACAAAATGCAACTTAGGTAGTTTCTTCCCAAACCAAGGAAAAGAATCTTAGACTTTTAAAGCATGTGAAAAGGATACTATATTTGACACCAGATCCCATGTATTATTTTGTTAGTGGACCCGGTTTCTATGCCGTCAAGCCCATATATGTAGAAATGCAGGTCTATTGATAAATCTATTTTTGAGATGGATTTTTGGGCTTAATTTTTAAGGACATGTAATCTAACATGGAGATCATGAATATGAACAAATAAGTAAATCTGAAAAACTAGAAATAATAATTCTAGTAAGAAGACATTTGGACCGTTAGTTTCCATTGTGTTTAGATGGAACACCTACTTGAGTCCATCGTTAAGATGGATGCTTTACGCGTTTTGGACCGCATTTGTGGTCATTCGGTCCAGCCCGCATGAAACAATTTTCCTTTGTTAATACTTTAGTTTCCAAGTTATTTTCAGGATAGGTACCTGTTTTCTACTTAACATGGATGGCGTGTAATTCAGAGCAACTCATTGAATTCCTTGAACCTTGGTAGGGTACTTTTTTGTGATTTGAAGAAACCCGTCACAAATGGCATAAATAGAAAAATCAAACCTGTCATAGATAACTTAAAGGACCTTGCTTTGGAATGATAATTCTGAGAGGCTAAGCCCATGTGGCTAAAGAATGAACAGTATTGTAACCAATGGAAGTGTGGCCCATCAGCTGTCTACGAGTTTGTACTCCTGAATGATGTAGATGGTTGCAATGGTATTGCGGTCATTGCTTTGACTGATGTGAGAGTAAGCAGTGCACTAGACGGTCTTTCGACTGGTCAAGATAGTTCTCATGGGCCTTTTGACCCAATCAATCCATCCTTTGATGACCCGTTTTATGATGATCTACATCCCAAGGTCGCAAGGATATCCAAGAAGGGAAGGTCGACTGTTGGAGGAGTTTATTTTTAGTTTTTTGCTGTTTTTACTGTCTATTAGTGATTTCCAATATTTTTGTAATGGTTTAAGTGGGGGCAGTTTTGGTCTTTTTCTGTTATAATGTAATAAAAAGGCCTCGGGTGTTACGGTTTTTAATACTTTTTGGGGTGTGAACCGTGAAACGGGGTGCGAACTATAACACTGGGCCCTATCTAGGGTTTTGGGGTCTCTTTTTTGTACAAGGAAAGTCAGGCCCACTTAAATGTGACCTATTTTGATGGTTAATTGAATTGTTTTTTCCTCTTTTCTTTATTTTCCTGCATCATGTGGTTATGTTTTGCTCCTTGTTTTTGTTGGTTTTTAACTTTATTTCTATTTTAATATATTGTATATTGTATAAAAAGCTTGTTTTCAACATCTATTTTGTCTCTTTGTGAATATTTTAATTCTAAACATAGAAAGGCCGTATAAAATGTTTAAGAACATTTTAATTCTAAACATGGAAAGGCCTTATAAAATGTTCAAATACCTTTAAAAAATTGTTTATTGATCTCCTGGCTTGCATAAATACTGATAAAACCTGTTCTTACTGTATTTTTATTTAACTTTATATTATGTATGCTAACGAGGGCGAGCACCAATGAAATTACTTTTTATCATCAGAACTAAAAGAGAACATATCCGAACCATGTATTGTCTAAATTTCTTTTCTCATGAGTATGTCCGAACCTTGTATATATTTTGTGCACCATTTGGCTTCCAAGAGAATCCTGAGAGAGAGGGAGACCCATCTCAAACAATACCACCACCCAAGCTCTTTCTCCACTTGGGTCTCCTCCGCTTTTGCACCCAACCCCACTTCCTCAAATTCAGCTATTTGTAGCATAGATCTAGGTTCAGAATGGATGAAGGTCGTAGTCGTGAACGAAAAGCCTGGTTAGTACATGTCCAAGATAGCAATTTTTGAATTTCATTTTTACCTAAAGCCTGGATTAGGAATTCGCATCCTATTTTAATGTTAAGCCCTCAAAGCGCCATTCTACTTTCAAGCATCGTTTTAGATATTCCCTAAACAATACATCCCACTCTAATATTTGCTATGTGTTTGACTTTGTAATGGTCTTCTCCCTCATTCAGTCTCAACTTCAAGAGGAACTCCTCTGACACATTTTCAATATTAAGACATTTGACTGCAACGATCATCTAAAGAGTTCAACATTTAAGCCAACGACACTAAGAATTTGCAGATATTGCATAAATCCCCTCTGACCCGCCCAACCATTCCAATTCATCCAAGTAGGAGAGAGTGAGTTTCATGAGTTTTGGAAACCCTCTTGTACCCTCATCTCCTATTTTCCTTCCATTGCATGTCCTATAAAGCACAAGCTCCACCAAATTGGGCAAATATTGTAAGGCTTCAAGTGGATCTTCAGTTAACAAATAAGAAATCAAGTGTAACTGTCTGATGCTCTCCTGGGAGCACAACCATTGTGGTAGCCTCTCCAAAACTGCATTTATATGTAGATGAGGAATAGGGTGTGGTGGGCTGCAAGATATTACTTCTATGGGTATGGGAGCTTCATAATCCATGGAAACCATATCCAAGCTTTGAAGGTCTGTCATCTTATGGATGGATGCCCATAACTCCTCCACAATGTCCATGTTCACAAACTGGAGGGATAGGTTCTTGAGATGGATTAACTCTCCTATCTCTCTTGACAACATTTCCATGTTCTCTTATATGCTTTAATGTATGGAGAAATCTTAATTCTCCCACACTGATATTGATAAAGACATTGTTCAGTGTTGGTGTTGGGATTTCCCTCTGGTTTAAGCAATTGAGTCAGTATATCCATTTGTGAGTCCCAAGCTTCTTTACCAACTAGCAGATGGGTCAGATGTTTCAGACTTGAGATTTCATGGGGCAGAGATTCTAGAGAACTCCTTCTAGCATCTAATATTTCCAGGCCATGGAGAATTTGCAATGATTTAGGACACTCTTGAATGGCCGTGTTCCTCAAACTTAGATACCTCAGAAGGATCAGGTTTCCTATTTTATTGGGCAACTTTTTGACATTGAGACCTTCCAAATCTAGGACTCTTAACATTGTGAAATTTGATGAAACATAAGGCAGGAAAGTGGGTAAGCTGTCGACGTCAAAACTGAGAAGGGTATGCATGTGCAAGTTACATGTGAGTAATACATTGTTCTGATGGTACTCATGAATTGATACACGATGAATTTTATCAGGCAGTTCGGTGTTTCCTCTAGTCAGAGCTGTCCCAAATTTCTCATTATATAGGAGAAAGAGAACAAGTTGCTGTAGTGAATCATGGGCACAGCATTCTTGAACTTGTCCATTGGGATGAGCAAGCAACACTTGAATCAGGTTCGATACTGGCCAACCTGAGGTATCTTCTGCCACCTCTTCCTTTAAGATCCCCTTGCATTTCTCTATGAACCCCGCTGCAATCCATAGCCTAATCAACACATCTCTTTCAATCCTGTAGTTCTGAGGAAATAAGCAAGAATACAAGAAAAGCGGCTGGAGGAAATAAGGCAAACTCCTATAACTCTGTCAATAAGCCCCATCTTATCTCAAAGTTGGGATCATCGGCCACTTCCCAATTCAGCTGCTTTAACGCTTTCACCCATTTCAGTTAGATCCATCACCGAGATTGCCAATAATGACCAAGATTGCGAAGGGTTAAATCCCATAAGACGTCACAATATGTCTCCCTATTGTATCCAATTCTGGGGATATATATATATATATATATATATATATATATATATATATATAGTATAATTAACTTAATAATAA